GGCTCCGTGTGGTGTCGGGTTAGTAATAGTAGTTAGTAGTCTACGTAATTAGTAACGCTACACCAACCAGACGACAATGAACACTAATCTGAATCTACGGGGCTCTTGCCGAATTGGGGGGCCAGATATAGGCCAGCGCATTCCTCTCCTTGCTTAATATTTAAGCTCCCTTTGGTTTTGCATATGTGTGTTCTGGCTTACATTCACGTTGTAGGGTGCCGATCGACGAGTTGTTTGTTGTTTATATATATGTGCTTTTGTTTACAGTTCAGGTTCGCTACAGTGCGGCCGATTCACCCCGAGGTTGTTTGTTGTTTGTATATATGTGTTGTTTACATTCAGGTTGCTAGGGGCGATCACGAGGTTGTTTGTTGTTTGTATATTTGTGTTGTTTACATTCAGGTTGCTAGGGGCGATCACGAGGTTGTATTGTCACCCACCACAGCCTGGGCCACCCAACCGCGCACTGTGTTTCTATATTTGTGTTGTTTACATTCAGGTTGCTAGCGGCGATCACGAGGTTGTTTGGTAGTGTAGCAGCGAGCACGGTGCGAAACTTCCAGCCGGACCAGTTACCTGTTCTGCTGATCATCATGAAAACTCGCTCCGCGACGGAGGTGTTCACCATCTTTAAAGGTAGAGATGCACCACCTTTAAATGTAACATCTCCTGTCCGGCAGTGTGTCGTTATAGTTTACGTTATGTATTCAGAAGTAGATAATAGGGAAGGAGTGCTGCTTCATATACAAAAGGACAATCATGTCATTTTGTAGCCTTACGCAATACCTACGCTTTCTTACACGCCGCTAACTCTCACCAACTTGCGCTCAAATCGTACACCAGCTTAATTCGCTCAGCATCGTACGCCGAAATCGATTTCCTCCCGTATACACCCGCGACATCAGCTGCTCTGCAGTAGTTGCTTCCTCTCAACCGCGCCTTCAGTTGCACGCACTGCAAACCAGGATGTAACTGGGAAAAAACGTACCATCCGTTATCCGTTAACGTTTATATCCCAAACCAATTTAGAGTTCCTGGTAGTTTTTGTTTGTTAGAGCGGATCCGGAAAATTCAGCAAGTGAAGGACCTGTGATTGAGAAGAGAAGAGGGTCCTGGTTTACCCACAGGGTTTTTCCATCTGTATCTAGCAGTTATGTTTGCAAACCGATAGATTGTCTATGTAGAAGGATTGTCACTGTACATTTTCTACATAGATATACTTCTTTCTGTATCAACTGAGTCAAGTATTTTTTAACGTTGAAAAAAATCTGTCTAAGTGTCGGAGTCCTTACCCTCCTGAACTCTCGCTCCGGATCTGCCCCCGTCCTTCCCTTTTCTTCCTTCATAGACCTGACACGCACCCTCTTACTATTGCTTGGTCAATCTCCATCGAAGCATCGCTCAAAGATCGCAATTATGAAGTTAGTCAGATTCAATCGGTCGTTGAGAGCCGAGAGTTACGTCGTCATCTAGGACTTGTTTGTTGCACCGTGTGTGCTCATGTCGTCAATTCTCTTACAGCGGTAAAGTACTCAGGTAGCGCACTGCTGCCGGAAATGAAAAACGCGTTACTGCATGAAAATTGCGCTCACAAGATCGAAGCGAATCTTCCAATTGCTGTGTTGGCGATGCTTTTCGTTTGTCTAATGTGTTCATTGCCTGATTTGTTGCACATCGAAGTAGAAGGTGACCTAAATCAGTGTGTGCTCTTTGATGTTTCTAGGACCCCCCCCCAAATGCTTTTGCCTTGAGTTGCCTCGCATGCCGTGTTCAACGACCGACCGACTGCATTGTGATGGTGAAATGTTTAATGTTGTTTAAAGTCGAGTTGTACCTTATTGCACAGATGTTATACTCCTTATCATGCTGCTAACGTGCGCAGTCGAGAGAAGGCAGGAGAGAGAAAGATAGAGCAAATTTAACAGTCGTTCGTTGGTCTCCCATCCAATCTTATCCCGTGTGTGCAACGTGTACCCACCAAGAGGGGACAAACACAATTTAATGATAAAACCTCACCATCATCCTGTGTTGTACTAACAGCTCTAGAGCGCTCACTTGATTGCAGTTGTGGGTGAATTGAAAATGTGCTAAGTTTGTTTCTTAAGTGTTTGGTTTGTGTGCTGTAAATATATATATCCGTATAGTTTGAACGACCATTACCGTAGCTGCTTATACCGTGTACTTAATAGTTGCCTACTGTTTAATCTTTGTTATGAGTTATCAAAGGGCCGTGTTACTATGCACTGTTGATTGTTATGTTCTTCCCTCGAGTCCATTGATGGCTTTCAAAGTACTTTGCGACGTAGCAGATCATAAACTTTGCAATGTGCGACATTGCAAATTTGCTCTTATCGATATATACATATACATATACGATTGTATAGGTCGTACACAATATTTGTGTATGCTCTTCTAGATCTGAGATGAAATTTCACAGTGGAAGTATGTTGTAGCATATGACGAAGTGCTCGGGGGTGGATAGTGACATGTAGTTGGGTGTTGAACGTGATCAGTAGAACGGTCCTTGGGCGGAGGCAACTTACGGCTTTTACAATGTAAAAAAGAACAACGTGGTGACCTATTACTATTTATAAAGTTTGTGATGAGTTGTTATATCATTTATTAAAAACACAGTTTTGTGGGTAAACTCACGTCTTAATTATATTATGTCTTTGCTGTTTTAACAAGGCGACGTAGGGTTTACTTCAATATGTAGATACAATAATGTGACCTTGTTGTGTTGTGTTACATTATTGTATTTAATCAATAACCACCTGTACGTTTGTTCACGATAATTCACATGCAGTTAGAAAGAACCGGCGGATCAGATAACAGAATTGCGAGATGTTAGCCTAAATGATTAAATATGACCTCGTGGCGCCATCTCTCGGTGGAAATTATTTAAAAGTGCGTATAAATTGACTGCATCAGCACCTGTAGTTTGAACCGGATTTCTTTCGGCACTCCGTGAGACGGGCTTCTTTCTCACGAGATCTCATGATACGTGAACTATACAGTTCGCTTAGGAATCTACATTTTTTAATTTCGTTTACCTGCTTGTCTTTAAATTCCCAGTTACGACAGGAGACACGTCTTGACAAATAGGGTAAATTTTTACATATATATATATATATATATATATATATATATATATCAGGAGTTAATGAGACAAATTAGTTATGAGATATATATATATATTATTATTACTGGCTGTTTGCATGACTGGCCGTTGTTTCAGA